ATTGATATTTGGTGCAGCAGGTAGTGATAGATAGTGACATACCTACTCAGTGGTTTGACCAAAAACGATAAGGTCAAGGAGGACTTAAAACAAGTCAGGATTAACTCTGATTCTTTTATACAAGACATCGAGACGCAAGAATTCAAGAAGAGACACAAATGATATTCGGCCCTATGCTGAATATCGTCATCGTCATCGTTGACGATCGTCTAAGCGCATCGTCACATCTATCGCTTCGTCTATGTTTTGGTATGATGTAGAGACAATGTAGACGAAACGTTGTGAAACGGAAAAATACGAAATTGTGTTAAATCGGTTGGATTTTTGTATTGTTTTGATATTTAAATCAAATACATGCATACATAAGTTAAAATAATGGAATGCGAGTTGTTGTTTTCAAGCTCGAGCGATGGAGAAGAGAGCAGGAATTTGGTGGTTCAACGAAGAATATTAAGGCAACACGCAGACATATTTGCCTTACCTGTTGTGGTACAACTATTTTCGATGTCCTGGGCGCACTCAGTTTTCAGACTTTGAGCTTTTTTTGATGGGTAAGCCCTCATGTGGGGCAATTTTGCAGCACATTAGGCAAAATGTGCGCGGTACTACTGATTCCGTACTAATGTTGAAAATAAACTCGGATAAAAAATTCTAGTGAAAAACTACAGCAGTTAGTTTGATTACAAAATGGGCGACGACGCTGACGAGCTGAGTGGCTCCTCAGGTACTAAAGAAAATAAAAGAATACAAGATCGAATTCTTTGACGAGAGAGACAATGGACAAAATATTTCTAACATTTTCATAAGACCGTTAACCATAAATAGTGCGACAATGAATCAAAAAACGATGGAGAAAGTAATTTATTTGTATTTCTCTATATCGATGCAATACCTACTACAAGCGAAAGAAAATCCATAAATGCTGTAGCAGTATCACGAGTGCTTAAAAAGTTAAAATATGTAGACATTGACGACGTCGTGGTCAAAGTGGGATATGGAAGGGCAAAGATTATTTGCAAGTCAGCGCAGGTAGCCGCCAATAATTTGGCAAGAGATACGAGATTCGGTCAAGAAGGATACGATGCAAAAATAATGTATCGATAATATTTCAAAAATGGGCATTATTTTCGATATACCCCCTGATATTAGCACGGAAGAACTATTAAAGGAAATTGAGTCGTCGATACCTATTCTAAAAATCATAAGAGTCGAACGTAGAGATAAAGATAATAAATACACTAAAATACCAACTAGACGTGTTAAAATTATTTTTAAAGGCCTGGCAATACCAAAAACTGTTGTATACGGTTACAACAAAATTGAAGTGAAGCATTTTATTTCGCTGGCTCAATGCTATAGATGTTATCGCTTTAATCACTATGCACAGCATTGCAAGCAGACAGTTAACAAGTGTAAGGAGTGTTTTCAAGAGCACGGAGTGGGAGCTGGTTGGCTGCCAATTGTTTGTGTTAATTGTAAAAGCAAACATTTACCGACTGCGAGAGACTGCCCGGCTAGGGTTAAGGCGAATGTTATAAGGCGAACGATGGTAATAGAAAATAGAACGTACAGGGAAGCGCAAAAAAAAGGTCTCAGAAATTGTAGGCAACCGGTTTGATTTACTGGAAAACTACGAGGAAGAATATTCCCTGGCCCCAAATAGAAACACAATTAATCGAGTGTCCAACAATAATACAGAAAAAACCAACTTTATGCATAAATTATTACCCGAATAGGCAATCGTAACAGACAAAGGGAGGAGTTGAATTCAACGCGGACATGGCTGGAATGGAGAGAGGCCATTCAACCTGTTAAGATAGCAAAAATAACCATGAACTCCAACAAAATTGTTAGTACACAAAATACTTTCAACGATTTAAGCCATGCTATGTCCACGCACTTAGCTAACAATGTCGATGACAGACTAAACTATAAAACAATAAAATTATTCAATAATATACGAGCAGCATTAAATAAAATAAATAATGAATTTGACAGCACTTTAATAAATAATGCAAATACAAATGGAAATGAAAACATTACATTTTAATGAGATTAGGAAAAAAAGAGCTACTAGAATTATGTTTAAATAATAACGAGATAGATGCAGCAATATTGTCAGAGACTTGGCTGAACAGTAGTAACATAGAAACCAGTATGAATGGTTACAATTTTGCATTTTCCAATAGACCAGATGGTTTCGGAGGAGTGGGGTTCTATATCTATTTGAGAAAAAATATTAAATTCTCAACATTCACAATTAACAGCGATAATGTCAGATGTACATGGAAAGTAATACATAAACTAACGAATAGCAATCATAATCCCATAGTAGTAACCATTCATAAAAAAATTAAAGCCAAAACATCTCTACAGCTAAAATTATAACATCGAAAGTTCTTAAAGACATGACGGAGGTGGAAGTCGGACAAAATTTAGAAGAATTTGTAAAAACATGTAAGAGTACGTACCATGGAATTTTTCTGAATTTTTACTTTGACACATTTTTTGAGGTTATGGTATTTTTGTGTGTTTCTGTTTTTTCGGGTATGATTTCATTCATAACTAAACGGCAACTCAAAAACTCATTATGGTATAATTATTTACGCTGTAGTACCATTGTTTTTGGGAAAATGTTCATATTCAAATTTAATATGTATACAGGGCTATCATTTAATCCATCGTACATAGTCCGATTTTTCGCAAAATCTGTGACAACTTTATAACCGACTTCGAATAGCTACGAACGTACATAACATATCTCTGCTTTGAGTACATACTTACAATAGTGGCCAGGTAAAAGTTACCATTATTCGGGCCTATTACAGTGGTCGTTTCTACGTATATCGTTGTTGTTTTTATCTAACAAGGGCTTCAAATAGTCCTTTATGATATCATTACATCGAGAAGCATTTAAATTTTCATTATTAAATGCCAATTCACTAACACATAAGTAAGTACGTAATTCTAACCCAAACCATATAAAACTTGTATCGAAACTAATGCAAGTACACAAAATTTTTAATACTGATAACTTTTATCTGACCACCACTGTGCGTTCGTACTAATTCGGGGATTCAGTGGGCGCAATGTCGTAGATTTCATGAAAATTGTACTACAATGATTGTGTAGTGATAGCCTCCAAAAACTTGTGCGCGCAATTTACCTTGTTTTTTTATGTCATACGTTGGTGGGAATATAAATAGGTATGCGACATTTTAACAAAGTTTTGGCTATTATTTTATTTTTTTGTTTTATCCATTTAATGTTTATTATTTTTTTATGAAAGTATAGCTCAATATCTAGCAAAAATGTACACAAATTGGAAAAACTTGACAAAATTTCATGAAAAAATGTCAACCTTTTTAGTCAGAATTTTTCGAAAAATTTTTGCTATACAGCTTTTCAGCCCGTTCATTAGTATAAAATAAAGTGAAAGTTTGAAGTAGCTAGCAACTACCGTTAATTTTTGGTAATTTTTTGCTGACGGTGTCACGCATTTTCTTCCTGACAAAGTATGTACATAGGTTCGACACTTTTTTATATGGAGGAAAATACACAACACCGTCAGCAAAAAAATGACAAAAAAATCAACGGTGATTGCTGGCTAGTTCAAACTTGCACTTTACTTTTTACTAAAATTTAAAGGGCTACACAACTGCAAACCTAGAATTGTTTTTTAAATTCTGAATAAAAAGTTTGGAATTTTGATGAACATTTGTGGAAACTCCTCGATTTTTTATTAATTTTGTACAATGTTTGAAGTTTTTATTTACATGATTTATGTATGTTAGATAGTAAGCGACACTTTTATGCCTTTTTCGACACGATTCTACTCCTGAAAAACGACTTGCACTCGACCTGACACTCACAACGAGATTGATTAAATAAACAAAAGCAAAATAGCCAAAACTCGCTAAAATATCGCGTTAGTATTTATTTACCGGCCACCGTAGTTTCTTTTATATTTAATAAACTTTTTTTCTAAATTTTTTGAAAACTCAATTATTTGTGAACTTTTCTTCTTGCGAGTTGCATTTTGATTTCGAGATTTCGCATTTTAGCATTAATTATTGGAAAATATCATTATTTTAATTTAGTAATTTAATTATTGTTTTCCATAAGCTTGCTTTTTGGATTTAGGATGCTAATTTCATTTCTATCTGTTTGGTGTTATAAATACTAAACGTATAACTAAAGTATACTGAGTAGAAAAATTATTATTAGTCACTAAATAGTTGGTAAATACAAATACGTTTGTTTGGGCATTTTTCAAACATGCAATTCTTAAATTAACACAATAGCATTTTTCTTTCTTTTTTTTTTTGAAAATAAACTATACCGCCTTAAAAGTGTTTTTTTTTCTGAATAGGGAAGACTGCATTAATTTTCAATGCATTATTTTCAATACAACTCAGATTTAGAATTTTGTCTTAGCTTAAAATGTACACAGAAAAAATTGCAATATTTGCAACTCCTGCCCATTAATAAATGCCTTTCCGCTATGCATAATTTAGTAATTTGTTTCGTTTACAATTTTCTTAATTTACAATAGCATATATGTAAATAATAAATTTGGTTATTTTTCTTTTGTTTTGCTTTCATAGCACATATGTATGTAGTAGAGAAAGCAGAAAAAAGAAAGCAATTAGTTGTGGTAGTAATTTTACAATTTGAGTTGCATTATTAATTGTTTTACATTATTTTTCGGTTAGCTATGTATGTATGTATATGTAGAGTTAACTAGGCATGCAGCGCTTAAATTCATAATTTCATCATTAATTATATTCAATATTTTTGTAGTATATTGCATATATAGTATGTATATAGGTTTATATATATATATATGTAATAATGCATGTACACATGTACATATGAGTATTGTGTGTTTGTGACCTACTTTTCAATTTCAACGCTTTGCTAGTTAATATTTATAAATGTTTGTAAGTATACCATATATGACATATGTATATATTTATGTATAAGTATTGTAAAATACTAATAGATATATATATACATATATATATATATAAATTCATACTTTTATAACTGTATAACTTTGATTTGCTGTTTTATTTTATATTCAAAATTCAAAATGCTGCAGTGTTCCTTGCCAAATGAGTATTTCATTTTACATTACTAATTACATACAAACTTTGTAATGCATTGCTGCTTACAAAAACCAAAACAAAAAAAAAATAGAAAAAATAAAATAAAAACGTCTTGCAATCGCATTATTTTTGGTGTTTCTCATCTTTTCTTTTGCACTACATACTTCTATTTTCCCTTTCTCGGCTTATAATTGTTGACTTATTTGAACTTTATTTATTTTATTATTATTTTTTATTCTACATTCAGTCCTCCTCTTCACATTCTCAAGTGAGATTCGCCACATGCGCTGTATCCATGTGCTGTATGAGTGTGCGCATAAATGCCATCTCTTTGCGTGCATTTTCCAATATCACTTTCGGATCATCCGAGGTGCAGCGCAAACAATTTGGTGCGAATACCATCGCCAAATTGGATGAGTCCATTTTGGTACAGCTCACCACATCGGCGTGGGAGAATTGTTGCAAAAAGTGCACCAAGTAGGTTAAAACCTTGAAAAGTTTAAAGTACAATTTTAAGGAAAATCATATTGACTAGATGATAGATGACGCCGTGCGGCAAAACCTCAAAAATCGAAGCAATAAATATACTCACAAAACTACGGGTCAAATATAGTAAAACTGTGTAGTTTTTCTCTTTCTCTTTTTTTTTTTAAAGGACTTCGAAATTTCAGAGATATGATTATTACAAAAAAAGAAAAACACTTGGGTAACAGATGAAAAAGAAAACTTCGTAGTATTTAAAAATGAATTGGTGCTTAACGTAAAATTTTTTCAACAATAAATGTAAATTTTTAAGGATTTTTAAGAATAACATTTCAAAGCGACATTTTAATACCTATCCGTTCTTGTGTACCAAAAACGATAATCTTTACGAAATCTGCAGAACTTCGTCATTCATTTATTGCCGAGATTGCTATTCTACATTGCACTGATATTTTTTTAATAGTTTTTTTTAATTAATCACACCTTTGAAATTTAAAATCTCTTTAAAAAAATTCTGATGAAGTCCCGAGAGAAAAGCTAAAAACACAGTTTTACTCTGTTTGGGCCCCTTGTTTCGCGACTATATTGATTTTTTAGTGTAAATTTTACGAATTTTTACACTCATTCTATTTTTAAAGCTTTGTTAAATATATACATAGCTAGCTTAACCCAGTTTCGAACTTACCAACTTATTTAAATCAGGCAGCTTATCAACAATTTCTTTGGCTTTAACAGGGTCCTCTGTATTGACACATTCCTCATAGAATTGGTCCGGTATGAGAGGATCATATAATTCACGATACCACAGCTTCAACAGACTAGCAGGGGCATGTGCATCCACTGTAGAAAAAGTAAAAATTGTTAAAATAACAACAAAATTTTAATTCTAATCAGTATACTATAGGTGTGAGTTTTTTAAGTTATGAATATAATAAACTACATATCAGCCCTAGTCTTGTTTACGAGGAAAAGAAAATAAGAAGGGAAACTTGCGGTGCTTAAAGGCGTAAATCTAAGTCTCTCCGTAAAAGTGAAATATCTAAGGATAACTCTAAATACGAAGCTGACATGAAAAATTCACGGAAGGCTTTGCAACACTGGACAATTGGCGAAAGGTGGCGTGGACTTAAAATGAGGGTATGTAGTGACAGTTAAGAGCTCTAAGAGTCTTGGAAAACGCACGCATCTCTTCAAAAATACTGAAGGAACGTTGATTCGAGTGCCAGGAACTGCCGAATTGCGTTTCTTTGGAGCGTCCAATTGGACCGGACCAAATTTTAAGACCAAGCATAGCGGTAAGAAAGCTCATGGGTGTAGTTTTGACACATGCGAACCAACAAAAAGGCCTAACAGGTTGATAGCAAAATTCTTTCTCAGACGGAGAGTCAGTGATCGACGAGCTTTCTTTCGGGTGATTCTTCCACACTGTTAGGCTTATAGCTATCACAACTTATCCTTTACCCTATTTTTTTTTCTTTTGTAGTTTTGAAAACACCCTTTCTTTTCCTTGTGTGCTCTATGAATCATCTTTATTAATATCTTCCATTAATATTACTAATTTACAATTATGACCATAACTCACCCATGCTATTTTTATAATCAGGAACTTCCCACCGATCTATACGACTCTTCAAGCAGTTAACTTCATCCACATCGGCAGAGACGCGGAAAATTCCCTCAGTTTGTTTTCCATTCAATATCAGAACCTAATTTCATGTTCAATGTAATTGTAAAATGAATTTGAAATTGAATATTAAAAATGCTTTTCACTGCCACTCACATGCTCCGACAAGGTTGTTTGTATCCATGGCAGTTTGCGGAACGGGAACTTATCCTTTTGCAAGTCCATAACCTCAGCGATTGTATTGCCAAACATACTGACACGTAGTATTTGATTCTATACGGGTTAGAAAATAAATGATTTAATTAATATAATTTTCTATAACTACATTTTAACAGAGTATAAGATGTCTTTCTTTTTTTAAATTTAAGTGGTTGAGTGCAGTATGCGCTTGAATCGTTTCTTACCCTCGCCTGCTCAACTTCATCTTCTGTGGGCTTCTTTGCCTGCCGACGACCATGACTACCAATGCGATCCAGTCGTCGACAACAAACAGTTGCATAATGTGAGATCTGTACGTGTATGGGCCATTTGCCCACCTCCGGGAATGATGTGGCGAAGGAGGGATCACGATGGCGATTCATGTAACTATTTAAAGAAATTGTTAATTTTACAAAGAATTAGGTAGTGAATGCTTTCTTCCATTATGCAAACATACTTCAATAATGTCGGTTGAAAAGTGGGCGATGGCGGTACAAAAGACAAACAAATAGCCATTAACTCCCAGCCGCGTATAAGCGAATCACGCTTCGGATTCTCCGTAGTCTGACGGCATAGCTGCACATACAATTCATCGCGTAGTCTGTGGAATTTAATTTCACTGATTATATACAAGTTTGTAGGCGCATTTATTTTTATTAACTTACTGTTGCTGTGGCAGCGCTGCCACTATTATATCGATCGCCACCGAATTGAGACTCATGCCAGCGCGTGCCTTTCGATCGCCCATGTAAATTTGCACCAATTTGAAGAGTTCGATGGCAGTTTTCTTGTCTGCTTTGTCGCGTGACAATGCCAACATGGGTCGGCTAATGGGTTCCGCAGTCCAGCTGAGCATATCGCGTACCGAAGACTAATGTAAAATGAAAATAAATGAGGAAGTGTTAAGGACTTTTTGAAGGCGAAAATGACTATTGGAATTTTGAACTTTTTGCAATTTTAATTTTTTGCATTCTATTTTATAATTATAAAATCCAATGAAGTAGATTGTTACATTGGAGAGCTATTATTAATTTCCATAAAAGCTGTGTTGAAATTTATGCAATTATGTTATTATAATAAGAAAGTTACAAAGATTTTCGTATATTTATCGATATTTTTCTGTATCGAAACCGATATATTTTTCTCCAATCTTATCGATTTAAAATTGTACCGATATCAATAGGACACTATTTGATCGGTGAGCATCACTACAAGTCCTATTATGGCAGGACCGAATTAAACCTTAACCCTTAGTCTGAACCGTATACTGTATTATTTGTAAATTAAAGCTAAAACCTAAAAAGATTTCGAAGGTACTTTTTAAGCAGCGACTTCGTTTCCGTACAAAAAAAACTGGCTCGCTTCTCCAATCGGAACACTCAAACATTCAATAGCTTTTCTCCTTTGCTACCTTACCTTCTTGCGAAAAATGCCCTTCGAATGCAAATTTAGATTGTCAGCGGCAAATTTCTCAATATCACATTCCTTCATGCACACCAGCGTGGTGGGCAATCCGCCCAAATTAGGTGGCGCACGCTCGCTGGGCGGAAAAATTTGCTGTATTGTCGGCTTCAATGACGGCGGTGGCAATCTGCTCGTACGCGACATACTAGCCGTACCTCCTCCTCCACTCACTCCGCCACCACTTTCATCTTTGGCATAATGATGCAAACGCACACTACCACCACCAGTGCTAGCAACAACACCACCACCACCACCACCACTGCCAGTAGTCCCATTACCATCAACACCAGTAGAACTGCTGATGCCGCCCGACTGTGCGATGCGTGAAATTTGTCGATTAGGTGAGGGTAATGTTTGTGATTGCTTTTGCTTTGAGTCGGCATCGAGTTGTAGATGCTGATGTGGTGGCAAAGGCGGTTGTGGTGGCAGGTGATGATGTGGCGCAAGTGGTGGTGTATTGGAGTAGAGTTGATTTTGTTGTGTTTGTATTTGTGATTGAGATGCGGGTTGATGATGAGCCAGTGATGGTTGTTTTTGTTTATATTGCTTGCTGCTGTTGTGTGGGTGTGGCGTGCGTCGTGTGCGTTGCGTCATAAAAGGAGATTTGATATCGTTGCTTTGGTTTTTGTGCGAATTCGGAAGCGCGTTCAGCGCCTTGGCTGCCAATGCCCTCGAGAACTGCCTCCACATTATCAGAGCTGTAATCGAATCGAATTAGAAGCAATTAACTCAACTGATACTAAGAAATATATATACATCTTGAAAAATACATACATATCTTCGCGTCCTGAAGGATCATATGGAGGATACTGATATGCGTAGTATGACACGCTATCATCCATATTGGCATAGTCGTCGATCATGCCATAATTGTGCTCTAAATAACCACCGTGCGTGTCCGAGCCGCCATCTGAATCTTCATTGTCTGGCTCATGACCGGAAAGTGAATGCTCCGATTGACTGTCTGAATGGTAGGAGTCGGAATCGATGGGATCACCGAATACGTAATGTCCAGACAGTTTTGCTTGTTCCATAATGTAGTTCTTAAGCGGTAGTAGGTGCTCGTGCATTTCCTGTGAGTTTAAAAGAAAAAAAAATGGGGGCATATTATTGTTTTTGTTGTCATTTTGATGCATTTTACACACTCATACCTGATCCCAATTGCTATAAAGCGGTGAAATATTACCGTTATCATACTCTGCATCACTGTTATCGGCATTCAGCAGATTACCATGGTGTCGCGAGCCACGCGAACGGCGATGTTCGTGTTTGCCACCGCGTGAGCTATCATAGTAATGCTCATTCGAGCGACGATTTGCGTGTTTATCCTGGGGAGAAGAATTTGTGATGCATTTGAAAATTTGTATTTGTTAAAATTAATTAATTTTTGTTTGTTTAACGTTTTTAATTTAATGGCTGATCGCTGATTTTAGCTTTTAATAGTTGCTCTGTAAAAGTTGAAATTTGAAATGGATTTGTCTATGGAATTTTTGGATGTAAACCACATCTTTGCTCCCGGCATGGGCCAAATTCGGCATCACTTGGGGACCAGTTATGGACTTTTTTGGGGCTAGTTCGGGACTTTTCAGGACCTTTTATGGAATCATTTCGAGACTAGTTCGAGGCTAGTTCAGAACTTTTTCGGGACTTGCTCTCTGTTAAACTATGTACGTATTTTAATTTGATTTCCATTCATAGACAGTTTGAAATCACTTACCATTACCAGCGCCCTCTCATGAAATCAAGGAGTGCTTTCTTAGCAGTATTTTCTATGACCATGTGAAGTGGCGTTGAAACAGCTGCGCAAAGCAAGAATGTGGTTACGATTTCTGGGGGATCTCGAAGTTAAGACACAGTTTCATTATTTCAGCTATTTGAACTCGCCAAAGGATTTGAACAGTGTTAGCAGAAAAGTCGGCCGAAATCTGTGTTCGCTTAAGCATAAAATTGACCTATGTGGCCATCGGATGCGCTATTGACAAAGAGGTCCTGTCTAACTTGACCAATACCCGATTTGCCACATATTTAGAATAGTTATATACAAATTTGAACATAATTTCTAAAATTAAAAATAAGGAGAAAGCTATGACATAGATGTCCCAAAAGCTTTGATCAAAATTCTGGTACATTCACAACCGTTATGGAACCATAAAATATCCGGTCCTTAAAATAATTTTTCTTTGTTTTTACCTAAATAGTGCCGTGCCTGTCTGCCTGTGTGGGGATACCATTAACAAATCTCTACCTCAAGCTAAAGTTTACTCGTGGCCAATTAGCCCTAGGTAAAATACTCACCAGACTAGTTGAGTTATGTCGCAATGAGCCAATCGAACGGTTATCTTGACTTTGATGATGATGATGTTGCGTTGCCGGCTGCTGTGCTGCCTGCTGCGGATGATGCGTGCGTGTAGCCGTTGACGAACGCTGCTTGCTACGCGAATCAGTTGAACTACGTGACGAATGTGTCAGCATACTACCGATATTATCTGAAGAAGGGAAATTTTTCATGCCTGTCGATGCGCTAACAATATTATTTGGTGATGTCGATGAGGAAGCAACGACAACGTCGCTCAAATGTGGTGAAGTTGGTTTATTCAAAGACATGCGTTCTAAATTCAAAAGTTCTAAGCTGCAAGACGAATCTTTCTTGTAGTGTTTGGTGTGTGCTGGAGCGGTTGGCGAGTGACCGGGCGAGTGCAGTGCAGTATTCGTAACGAAATTGCTGCCGAGTACATTGTTAGCGGTTTTTGAGGGCTTCGACTTGATCTAAAAAAGAGAACAATAGAAAATAAAGTTTTTATTGCGTAAATAAATAAAAGACGAATGGACATCGTGAGAGTCAACTCACCTGTGGACTAATTGGGCTCTGCGGACTGGAATCACTCGAATGCTTTTTATTGCTACCACTGCCACTAGTGCCACCACCACCACCACCAGCAACGCTAACACCACTGGTGCCATCGGCGCTAGTCGTCTTGCCGGCGGCGGTGTGACGCCTGCGCGACAATGGAGTATTTTCCACGGATTTGAAATACTTCTCATGCATCGAATCATCGCTGGCTGCGCCACCATTCGCTTCACCGCTAGATTTGCGATATGACTTGCTGTGATGACCCGCAGCTGTAGGAGTAATGGAGGATGACATAAAGCTGCCCGAGCGCGCCAACGACACCTTATATTCGCGATCACGTTCTATAGCGGGTTCAAAACAAAAAAGCAATTTAAATTTGTATTTAAACTATATAGAAAACAAAAAATTGCACACATACCACCTGCATTTCTGCCGCAGCATGGTGTCGTCCACCAGAACCACCACCCTGCCCCATGCCGCTGTCCGCGTTGCGCCTGCTGCTGTGGCTGCGAGTGTCTTTGGTGTGCATATGCCAGCGGTGGATATTGCCCAGCCGGATATTGACCGCTTACACCTACACCCACTACGCCGCCACCGTCCGGTGAGATTTTCTTCTTTGGTTGTGGTGTATGCGCCGAATGCGTTGGCGAAGCACATCCGACGACTTGGATGAGCAGTAGCCCGGTAAGTGATGCCCCAGCGGCAAGAGTTGTTGTTGCTGCTGCGGTGAATGCGTTTGCTTTGGCGGCTGTTGATGATGACGATCGAAATATTTATCGCTTGCAACACCACCACTGCCACCATTGCCACCATTGCCACCACCGCCACCACCACCACCAACCCCACCATAGGATGATGCATGCGGTAAATTGTGTGAACTACTGCTCTCTTGCAACAAATCAAAGCTGCGATGCGGGTTTTCGACCATATAGCAATGCACATGGCGATTGTTGATGGGGGGCGGGCAATGAAGTCGAAAGCGGGCGATTGAAGCGAATTTGCGATTAGTGGGAGAGTCGGCATCGTAAAACCACATGAAATGAAAAGCAAGGGAAATGCATACATATGTATGTATACGTATGTATGTATGTATGCCAGAGTATGCGTTAGCTTATGTATGCGTGTAAGGCAAAAAAAAAACAAAAAAAATTGTGCTTACCTGCCCTCCTTGCGGGTACGCTGCTTCTGCAATGAGCCCAGCCGTAAACTTTCGCCAGTGCCAGCATCATTGAATCGCCGATAACCATGTACGCTGGACAAACTGGAATCGCTGGACTTGCCACCCGACTCTTTGTAATGATTGGATGAATCTGTAAGTATGAATGTGTGTGAGGAGTAAGCGGATAACAGATATGCCCACTAGGCCATTTTGTTAGGTGTTCCGAATGCCTACTGGTTAGTAAAGAGTGTAAATATGTATGTATGTACATTAGACTACAGCACTCTCCATACAAAAAAAAAATTGGTACTGTTTTTCCACTGGAATTAGAAAATCTATTATATTTTAAGACTTCCGCCAAATAAACTCGAAAAAATATGAGATCGAAGGGGGTTCAAAAATTGTTTATTTCTGAACTGTATTTAGCGGGGTTACCACACGTTTGAAAATTAAAATTCTACTTTATTCATCAGTTAATTAAAATATGTATCGCAGTGTCCGGCGAAGGAGGGTTTACGATGATTAAGCTTGACAATACTTTTGAAGAGGGCTGACACTTGTTTGAAAGGTCTAACTCAATTTACTAATTCAAAATGTAAATGAAATATAAAAATGCCGCAGTCAAAGGAAAGAATGTTAAGGAATCTTGAGTTTGAACATTTCATAATAAAAAGTTAATTCAAATTATTCAGTAAGTTGGATGAATTATTAAATTTAGAATTACTAAAAGGTATTTATTCCTGACCTTTAATCNGCCATTTGTTCGAACAATCAAATTCGAATTAGTTCATCAGTTTATTGAAATACATGTGTATCACAATGTCAGACGAAGAGATTTAAGAAAATTTCAACAAATGAGAGGTCAAATTAGAGACCTTAGTCTATAGATGTATGATAAAGTTTTACTTTTTTTTTAATTAAAAACTTTTTTCATCGGTATAGGGTGGTTTGCTCTTAACTCAGAAACGGCTGCTGCGGTTTGATTAAATATGGCACTCGGATCTCTTATAACTTTGGCTAACATTTAGAATATTTTTAAAGTTTTCGAAATTCAATTTTGGGAGTTTTAACGCCATGCGGGCTCACTAGTCGTTAATATCTGAAAAGTGGGGAACCACAGCTTTGCATGTTTTTGGAGCGCATATTAATTATTATTTCTATTTTTTTTATGGTTAAACTCGAATAATAAAAATCATTATAAATTACAGTAGGACAAACGAACACAAATAGCTAAAATTGTTTTACGACGATTAAATACAACTTATTGATTTTTTTTGGTTAAAATTTAAAAAATAACGATAATTTTCTGTCCATGTTTTTAAGTCGGGTAAACCTTCTGATAAGCAATAAGTAGCAGACAAATTTTCCCCTGTTTATGCCTTAACGAAATAAAAGTGAACGAGCAGTTCGTCACGTAAAAATGCGTATTTTGGATTATATTTTTTTTTCTGAAAGTAATAAGTCCATAAATTACTAAATAAACACTCAGCTCAGCCTCCGATTTAGGGCACTTCATTACAAAAATTTTAACAAAAAAAAACCCCTATTTCGAAACATTTTAGTTTCCTCATCTTCGAACCACCACTGTATGTTAATTTCCCATTAAACGCAAAAAG